CACCAACGTCTCCCAAATATTTTCCGCCTACCCAAGGCTTGCATCGACCCATAAAACGTTTTTTAGGCAAATTCCAAGGTGCCACACAAGGGGATTACCTCACCAGACCTTCTTGATAAATCGACCACGATGAAATTTGAACGCGGGTCTCATGGTCAGGGAGCGAACGGTTGAGCCACTAGGATACGCGGCCATTATATCAATATATTATAAAAACATACAACAAAAACAAAAGAAAAAAAACCCAAAAGAAAATCTATATTTTCAAATACAACTTCAAGAAGTATATGATAAAATCAGTGAAAATCATATCCTCTCCATATCTATCGTAAGAAGAATTATTAATCTCATAGAAATAACCTCGACATATTTAAAGACAAGTTTTCATGGCATGGGATATTGAAGCAATAGTTGCTCCGATACGCCGAGAATGCAAAACGTAAAAGCATGTGTCCGTCGGAGCAGAGATTTTAGTCTGAAGTCATTCCTCTCTTTTATTGAAATCGTTTACCGCCACGTCAAGAGACGGATTTCATTTTAGTCAGAACATTAGGTACAAACGCCTACACACGAACCACATTTACACAGACGCGTATATATTTAATACACACATTCAAGTGGGAAACAACAGCAGATTGCTTACAATAAACCCAGGCTTTACCCAGACCTCAAGTCCATCTCATATATCCGATGTATGGCTAAACGTGCTGAAAAATAATAGTCGGTTCATTGTAGTACTATTCCAGGAAGTATCTGGCATCATCTGCTCTTTACAAGATGCCAAAAAATCGAGTATAGTTGCCATAGCCCTGCTGTAGGTGTCCAATTCTATTTTAACTGTCGATATTCAGTCACCCCCCCCCACGAGGGTGTCATGTGGCACAAGGCCTTTTTAACGTGGGCATTCCCAAGCCATTAGGTTCGGCCAAAAAATAGCCCATTTGAACCCGTCTAAACGGGTTCAGGGCCGGTTTTACCTCCTCGAAGGAGACTCCGCCATTCGGCGTAGCCATATCCGGGTTCCTCCCGCCCATAGGAAGAGAGTTTAACCGAACAGTCGGTTCAGACTTGAACGACTGACTATTTTAACTGTCTTGACAGACTTCAAATGCGTCTACGTAGACTTGTGCGTGATGAAGTGTTTTCAAACTTACAAACTGTTTTCCATGCAATAAATTTAGCGATTTTCATACTGTTCTCTCGCTAACTGCATAACATGTGTTCGAAGAAGCTAGCTCTAAAACATGTTCATTAGTCCCAGCAGAACTGAGATTTACAACTGAGACCGGCTTTGACACGTACACGAGATTGAATCATCCGCATTTCCTCCGTATTTCTATAGTAAGAAGTAAATTTCACTCGTACATCTTTTTCCCCAAAACTGAAGCATTGTGAATGTTCTCTCTTTTATTACAAACTTGGCCTCTTTTAATCTAGCTTTAACCGTTACTTTTCCAGCAAATCCCAGTGAAACCCACTCATTGCCTTTCCTTACGCTCATACAACAAAAAACAGTAAGCCTCAACCTTGAGTGGCTCTTGAACCTTGTGAACATTAGTATAACATCATTCTTTATTAGATGACGACACTGCGATAAGGCCTGTTTTAGGGGTTGCGTCATCATTAACACTTCTCCATGACATGCACACATTCTATTACTATACCGAAAGGCTTGGATAGTTTTTCTACTAGAGTGTCTGATAGCCAAATGAAAATCTTGCCTCATCAGATATTTCCTTTTGTATTCTCAGCTTTCTATCAATATTTGGAGCCGAGTTGTCTGGTTTCCAAAAATGAAATCTTAATTCAATGATGTAATAGACAAGATGGCAATGCCAAGATTCTGAAACAGCAAAGCAACTTTCTGTATTATCAAATCCAGTTCGATTGACATTTATTTTTAAATCTATAATCGAGTATATATATATATATATATATATATATATATATATATGTGTGTGTGTGTGTGTGTGTGTGTAAAGGAATCGATATAGCGAGAAAGATCCTAAAGCGCAATATTAAACAACATGTAAAACAATTACGAATTCTAATTAAACAAGGTGATGCGTAATTAAATTTGGAGGTCCTAGCCTGTTAAAGGCAACAGGAAAATTATTCGATGTTTCACACGTAAAATGATTGGTTTGTCTTTTATTTTGTCATAGAGACACAACCGTGAATCGTCTGTTTGCTCGATTGTCTCATGTTTGATTTCGTTTTGTAAAGACGTCAGTAAAACATAAGCCATGTAAATGATCAAAACATAAAATTGAAATACGTGTTCTTTGGACATTTTTATTAGGAAAAATAATTTGTTATTTGCAGGCTGATATACGGGCCTTTTTTGTGTTTGATTTTCCGGTTTGTTTGTTTGTTCTATGAGATGTTAACTTATAAGAAAGATGCTCCTTCTCTCTTTCTTTCTATAAATATTTATAAACATAGCGACAACACAGCTTGGTGTTAACAGGGCAGATCAGCTAAAAGATCGTCGAGAAAATTGAGCATGGTTTGACTGCTCTTCTACAGGATCCCTTACAAAAAAGTTAAATATCTATATGGCACGCAGGGTCAATCCTGGTCACTGCAAGCAAGGGTAATAAGATTTGTCACATGCAAATATTGACACAAATGTATACATATAAAAAAAATATGACATAATGAGTAAGAGAATGACAAAATTAAATATCCCCTCTCTGCCTTCCATCAGAATGGCTGATGCTAACCTCCAGAAATGGGACTCGTTTCGCCTTTTCGGCCTAAACTTCTCAGCTGACATGAAGTGGAAAGACTATATTGAATCTATTGCTAGATCAGCTGCTAAGAAAGTTGGTTTACTGTCATGCGAGACAATTTTTTCTCTCCAGAATCTATAATTCTACCATTTGTCCCTGCTTAGAATATTACTGCTATATATGGTCCGATTCTCCTGCTATTTAGCTCGTTGATAAAATTCTAAGAAGAATCAGCAATATTATTCGTCCTGATCTGGTGGCTCGGCTTCAGTCACTTTCCTACCGCCGTAAGCTTGCCTACCTGCGTCTTTTCTATAAATAGTTTTACGAAAATTGTTCTGATGACCACTTCGCTATAATACCTGGACTTTTCGAATTTATCACAGTACTACTAGACTGGCGTCGAGATCTCATCAATTTAAAAGATGAGTTGGCTAGATGTAGCCGTAGCTTCTAGGCTAACAATTTATTTTCTTACACTTCTCTGTGGTGGAAATCACTTCCGGCTCCATGCTTTCCAGCCAATGTTAATCTGCAAAAATTTAAATGCAATGTCAATTGCTATCTACTGTCCTCCTGATAACTATTTTCTCTTCCCGCTTATTAATGTTTCTTTTCCTAATTCTTCCACACCCTTTGTGTCTTTACTGACTTGCATGTGGTGAAACCAATTAAAAAAGATAAACAAAAAGTAACACGTACCTTTCCATTTATTAGGAACCAAAAGTTTGTCAGAATTCTGATGAAAGCCATTTTAAATGTGCGATTTTAGATGCATTTCAGGTGTTTACTGGGCTCTTGCTTATGGCAGCATTCAATATATTATTGGAAATATCAGACTTCCTGACACCGCAGTTCCCAACGAAACCCATTTACCAATTATTGTCAAAAATACAGCGACTATCTATTTTCTTGTGTCAAACATGTATTAAAAGTTCGTCCGGCACATGGTATAGATAATGTAGCACCGATTAAAGACTAAAATATGAAACCATTCTATATGGCTAGAATGTAGTACTTATAAGCGTTTTTAGTCTGTTGCAGAAAAAGAATTCACCCATAGCTAGAAAGGAAGAAGTAGATTCAAACCTTCCTCAAGGGTATCTGTTCGTAAGTGAATATAACAAACCCAACCTGAGTTTGAACTCGGTTCACCGATGGACAATTCCGAGCCATTATCCATGACACCACCCATACATCCAAGCTTACAGAATCTGGTATTCCCAAGTGGTCACCAATCTAGGTACTGATCAGGCTCGTCGTTGCTTAACTACGGTGATCGCACAGGAATATAATGCGGCAGTAAGTCACTTCTTCATATCAGCCGTTATGTAATATCAGACAGCCTATATAACAGTGAACAATCTTCTCAAAGATGAAGAAGATACATTAGAAGTAACATAAATATGATTCTACGGAAGGATGATGAGAATGGACCGAAGATGCCCGCAAGTTTTAGCATAAATGAAAACAAAAAGGACACTTATACATAACATTAGAACAAAACAGTTGAAATTTCTAGTGCGCATAATGAGGAAAGTGGGCTAGGGATGTCTGATAATCACAAGACATATGGAAGGCAAGAGGAACAAAAGAAAACATTAAACTACCTAGCGGGTTTCATTAAACGGTACACCTAGAAGAGTTTAAGGGACATAAAAGAAATATAAAAATTATTTAAATGTAAAAAGGACAAGAAATTAAGAAGAGACCTGACCGCCTAATGAAGGAAAAGAACAAAGAAAATATTCTTAGTTTGGAGCTTATTCTTATTCTAAGAGCTAGAGATGAGAACCTAACATAATAAAGCGGCTAACGACATGTTAACTGCATATGTACATCATTTGACAATATTTACTTGTGCAAACGTCTATATTTTAGTGTCTGGTAATGTTTTTAGTTTCTGTGTGTATACGAGATGAAGTGCCTGACATTTTAATGGGCAAATCTCCAACGGATTTTTATTTTCTCTGGTAAGCAACAAATCATTGTTTTTTTGACCAGCAGCGCTATCTTGGTCGCTAGTTGCTTACTGACACAGTTTATAAACATTACTGTTGGCAAGCGACCAAAGTTACAATTCTGTCACGATGTATGGAGAAATGGCGTCAAATGTTAGAATACAATTTTCAATTCCACTTTGGTTGTGAAGAAAATATTGGAATATTGATTTATTGAACTATTTTGATTGACTCAGCCATTTATTGAATAGTTGCTAAATATTACTTCAAATCAAAACTAAAATGTACCAATATATTTCTCAGTATGGTCATATCTATCTATTTAGCTATCTATCTATCACTGCATATTTACGTTACTCTGTTCATATCTATCTATCTATCTATCTATCTATCTATCTATCTATCTATCAAAATATTGGTACTTATCAAATAATTTTTTTACAATGTAAAATAATTTATATCGAGGAGACTTCACAAAATCGAAATACCCGTGTCTACGAATAGAAAATAGATTTACATTTAGACAACCATTCAAATACTTTCATAATGCACAGGAACAAAATTGGGCATGACTTTGATTTTGGAAATGCCACCCTAATTAAAAAAAGAGCATAATTCTTTACGAAGGAAGTACTTCGAGGGCCTACTACTGATGATATTACCAACTATAAACACACGCAAAAAAAAAAACATTATATTGCATAAACAACATTTAATGAATCCATTCTTAAAGAATATAACGTATGTTCATCGAAAACGGACGCTAATTGCTCCAAAACGTTCGCAAACATACAAAAAATCAAAGAACACTTACCACACACACACACACACACACACACACACACACACACACACACACACACACACACACACATCCGAATCCTACATAGACAAATTCAAATTATTGTAAACTTTCATACATAAAGGAATAATTATGGCTTCGATTCCGTCAATTTTTTAAAAACTTTTGGATAGACGCATCGTCTCTTCTTGAAATAGGAACGCCAGAAATTATTGTAACATTGGATTAAAAAGTCGAATCTACGTGAAACATAATTTACCAATGAAAGTCAAATAAAACAATGCTGGAAAAAAACAGAATACATTTCTTTCTTTTTTGCACATTTCATTATCTATCTATCTATCTATCTATCTATCTCTCTATCTCTCTATCTCTATATATATATATATATATATATATATATATATATATATATATATCAGTCTGTTCATATCTATCTATCTATCTATCTATCTATCTTCGTTAGTTAATATCTATATCAATCTCTTCATATTTATCTAATTATAATCATATATATATATATATATATATATATATATATATATATATATATATATATATATATATATATATATATATATATATATGTATGTATTCGGTGTCTGGAGTGATGTCTTCGAACCTTTTATTAAGTATATACATACTCACAAACGTATTTATATGTTTTTCATATGCACACACACAAACGCACACACACACACACACATATCTCTATATGTGTGTATGTATATTGGTTTCTTAATATATTCTTGGATTTCTGACTGGAGGGTGAGTTAATTGAATCCAGAAAGAATGATATTTCGAATGATGAATTTAAAAGAAATTCATCTGTCTTCACTTTAGAGATTATTGGATGCAATCTTACTGGCCATTATTCTTTCACCCGAGACGACAGACGAAACTAACCCTCATATTATATTTAGATTTAGATCTATCTGTCTATCTATCTATTCACAGCCTATCGATAATATCCTTGTGTAAATTAGATTTTTAATAACTAGTTTTCTATGTAAGATAGAAATATCTGATAAGTTTTGCCTGTGGAAATCTATTAAAACCACAGTTTGCTCAGTCACCTCTCACTCTCGCAATATCTGCGTTCCAGTTTAACTAATACACCGAGTTGCAGTTGTTAGCCGTAAGTGCACAAGTATATCCAAGTCATTAATCTTTATATTGAAGCTCGTTCAAACTTGACATTCTGAAAACTAAATATGTTAAATGAATTTACATTCATTTGCATCTGCAATATTTTATAAGTGAAGTTATAATGGTAAATACACAAATATTCTATAGAAACACAGACACAGCTATCAATCCTCGTATATAAATTTATGTGTATAATGTAAGTTATGACCAACTATGTGGCTTTATTTTCGCAGTAATGGTCTTAGGAAAATGTTTTACTTTTCCTCTAGCAATAGGTTAATTAGGAGGAAAGACTGGACTTTCTTACCTTTGGTTATAGTCAGTCTAAGAGAAGGACAACTTTGAATTCAAATAGGCTGACAAAGACGTGGCCTTCCTGGGAGGGACAGGCTCAAGTACATCTGCTGTGCTAAGTACTTGATATAATTCTGGAGAATTTAAACAGAGTGGTAATAAAATATCCAAGATGGCCGTCCGCAAATTATCTGACTAACGGTATATTTTTATAATGAAGTTTTACGTCCACATCCGTCGATATCAAAGGGAGAGTTCATTATATATATATATATATATATATATATATATATGTGTGTGTGTGTGTGTGTGTGTGTGTGTGTGTGTGTGTGTGTGTGTGTGTGTGCCTATATGTATATATATTTAAATGAAGGGAGATTTAATTAATCTTTTATTGGGATTTTCCAACATTCCAATATTTTTTCATTTTCCAGGGGTTAAAGAATATGGGAATTGTCCATAGTTATAATTGTTCCAAGCATGTTTCGCTAGTTCTTTAGCCATTATCAAGGTTGTTATTTTTTGGATTGTGAATTTTTTTGTGCGGTCTCTATATAGTAGTTTTGCTGTGTGGTGTATGTGTGGCTGGTGTTATATAATTTTGACAGTCACATGCTATTCATGACCGATTGACATAGGCATGACTTCTATTTTTAGAAGAAAATTAACATGCTGTCTCTGCTGCTAAATAGTGTAAGATTAATATCAGTGCCAATAATATTTAATAAGCAATGCTTCCCTAATTATAAACTGTGTACGTCTATGTTGTCGACTAGAATTTTCCTTAAATGTTCTTGTAAATTATGAGTTAATAAATGTTTATTAATCGCACTCTACTTCGAACGGTGGCATGCAAAACATCTTCTTAAGGAGGTAGATGTGTGTCCACTATAAATAATTGGTTTTGACAAGTAACAGTCTTGTACTGGGCAATGGAATTGTTACACTATATTCGTCACCGCAAGTTTAGGTTTCGTCGGTTTATTTTGGTTGGTAACATAGACTGTTTGCCTTTTCTATAAATATTTTCATGGTAAATGTTCTAATAAAATTTCCCATTTAGTACCTCAGGTTATATTGGTTTTATCATTCATATATATATATATATATATATATATATATATATATATATATATATATAAAAAATAAAGAGAAATTATAGTAAGATTTATAATCCTGTGTTCTTATTATTTATTTTTAAATAACAGTGCTCAATACAATTTTGTATAGCATAAATATTATAAATTTACTAGTTTAAAAATATGGTTCCATCGCTGCAAAGGAATTGCCATGTTTCAATGAGAGAACGTAAAAACTTCAAATTTAATTATAGAATTAAATGAAAATGAAAATAGTACTGTTTCATTTTCAAGCGAATTTTGGAATAACTTATTTTGTAATTTACTTTATTTTATAAGCACAAACATTCTTAATATTAGTTGGTAAGGGTACGGGTAAATTGAATCATTTTGACAAAGGGTGGTAGGGTATTCATTTTCACAGACAACAATACGAGTTACTTTCGAAATGAGGTTAAGTTAAGGTAGGGTAGGAGTGCGTGTTCAGCAAATGATGGCATCCGTTTTTCGCATGTCGTATGTTTTTTTTCAATGACAAAAGGTTTTTCACGACGTACTCGTATTCAAATAACCGTTTTGTAAAAAAAAAAAAACATTATTCATTCAATTACAAATTTAACGACAAAAATGTGTCGAAAAACTACCCTACCTTAACGATGGAACCATATTTTTAACCTAGTAAATTTATATATATATATATATATATATATATATATATATATATATATATATATAAAAAAAAACAATATAGTTTTAATGTATGCAATATTTATGGGTTAAAGTACTCAATATCAGAGATACTGCTTATGTAAATATAAACAGGACACTGACATCAACATCAAGTGACAATAATCTGCTTCATGCTTTAATGCAATCTTCAGCCTACGCAAACACACAGACACACACACACACACACATATATATATATGTGTGTGTGTGTGTGTGTGTGTGTGTGTGTGTGTCAATGTGTGAACTAGGTATACCATTGAAGAACAATTCCTATCGGCCTAATTTTACTCACAAGGCTTGTGTCAAACTGGCAAATTATCTTTAGGTAAATCTCAAATATTCTGCGATTTCCTTCCTAGTCACGGTAATATCATGAGGTCCCCTTCCTGACAAATCGATATTGGTTCGATTGGAACCCAGTTACTAACCCTTTCTCATAATTTACAAAAGTATGATTTCAACAAGCGTAAAATTACTTTTTCTCCAAATATCTTTATTTAGAAAATTTCCACTGACAATTATTTCGGTTGAGCTCTCGGGGAGAAAAGTGAATTTGTAAACAATGACTATTACAGCTGCTGATGCAAGATTCTTCGTTAAGACGAATCGAGTTCTCCAGTGACTGGTGTTTTTATCTAAAAATAAATACGTCTAAATTCAGTTTCATCCTTACCGTGCTTAGTGTTTAGGGGTAGAGGATCCGACTTATATCAGTCGGATGTCTAAGTACAGCGATGCGCTAAAAAAACAATGAAACATTCTTTCAGTGGATGACAATATATACATGCTCCTGAAAAAATCATTTCGGTTCAGCTCTCAGGGAGAAAGTCAATTTTAAACAGTGATGCATGACTCTTCGTTAATCGAGTTCTCTAATCACTGGCGTGTTTATCTAAATCTTAAATACGTCTAAATACACCTTCACCTTTAATTACGAATAGTAATGGACGTGAGACTGAACGCCTGTGTCAGATTGCGTTTCCAGACCGATGGCAGCCGAGTCATCCAACACCACATTTTATCTTGCTTTCGTGTGAGAAACCTGTCCATAGTGTCTGTAAAAGTATTTTGGTACACGCGACATATATATATATATATATGTCTAAGAATTTGAATGAAACCTGTCGTGTATTTTATTGGGGTTGTTGGAACGTCTTCCTTAATGTAGTCCTTATCGGTAACCCCTTAACCATCTTTATCTAGAGACGAGACGCGTTAGATTTGAGCAACATCCAGCCGACACACTGGGGTTAAAATAGGAAACTAAAATGATACATATGACACACTCATATCCTCTCTCCCACCTCACTTCCTCAACTTTGCGTATACTTGATGAGGTCCGTAAAAAAAACGTGTGAATTTCTTTTCATTTTTCATTTCAGCTTTTGAAGTAAAGTCTGATGATGCAGAACCCTGTTAAAGGGGTTATGGTGAAATAGCTTATTACATGGAATCTTAACGTGGTCTGTCTTTTATTCAAACATATCTGCTTTGAATTTTACATTGAGCTCTCTGGATATCATCCTCCTCAGGTCTACCCATACGGATTACCTAAATTTGCATAAACTATATATATATATATATATATATATATATATATATATATATATATATATATGTAGCGTATCAAAATATTATATATATATATATATATATATATATATATATATATATATAATATATGTTTGGTTAAATAAATTAGATGCATTATGCCTATTTATTTTAGTTTCACGTCGGTGAATTAATTTTTGGGTGGCTGTAAAAAATTCATCATTCATCTTAATTTTCTTTCAAATAATTTTTATTTTCCCAAGTTCTTTCATTTTCATATGAGACCATCTTCAGGGGTTGCATATTTATGCATATTTTATGCGTTAACACCGTAGATTCAAATAATTTTTTAACACTATTCAAGTGAGGTAACTTATGTAATATTTTTAAAAGATTTTTTAATTGTAATTTTTTAATTTAGTATTTTTTATAAAAAAAACTTTTCTACTAGAAACATTTAAGAACTTTGTTGATATACACGTAGTTGAGTATTTGTTCTTGGCCGTAAGTTTCTTGTATAAAGTCTTCAAGAATTTAAAGGTTTTTTCGGATTATTTTGATGAAGCACTTATGTATTTTCCACTAATATCTGTCTAAACAGTGAATGTAGACATGAGTTCTCCTTAAATCTTCTGAGATTGAGCTATGATCGTTCACATGAAATGTAGCACATCTCGTTTATATTTCTTTCCATCAATATATACTCGGTTAATTACATTTTTCAAAATCATTTCACCTCAAACAAGGCGATTAAGCTACTAAGACACAATGAATTACAGGAGGTGAAAGAGAATGATAAGACTTCAAACTGGATAAGTCTATCAGGGAAAATGAAGAAACAGGGTTCAGGAAGACATAGGATGGCGAACGATGCTGCCTTTAAATGTTTGAAGATTCTAGGTGACACGGAAGGAATAAATTGGAAAGGATTTCAACAGGTGAAAAGGGCGATAAAAGAAAATGTTAGAATTCAATCGGCGTTTTAATCTAGCTAGTTCAACAGTAAAACCCACTTACCAACCTAGTAGCAGGCCTAAATTCAGGAAGTCGAGGCTCTAGGGGGAAAAAACTCATCAGAACAGTTACCATGAAAATATCAAGACAGAGGAAAGCCACGTCATATCGGTGAGGAAGTGACTGGAAACGAAATGTTTGGTCATTAATGATGCTTTGAA